TGAGGTTAAGCGCCGCTAAAAGAGCTGACCTGCAGTCGCTGTCCCAGCTCTGGACAGGAACCCCCGTTTTAGTATTTTTTTTTTTTTTAGTAATTTAGAACGATGAAGAGGTGAAACACCTGAAGCATGACCGTGCAGTTCTTACCTTGACTCAGCAGAACCAGCAGAGTTGACACTGCCCAAGCTGCACTGGAGAGAGACATGGTGTGGAATGAAAACTCCTGACTGCCGCGGCCTTAATAACCACACACACACACAAACACACACACACACGCCTACTCACTGCATCCTACTACCGCCACACCCATCACCTGCTTATCAAACATGACAAACATGTCAAACATGTCAAACACACAGCGCTGAGAAACAAAGATCACTCTGACACTCCACGTTACCTAACCTTAAAAAACCCACAGCATCCGTCACGTCGCGGAGGCACCGCTGCTGACGTGTTCTGTCCGATGACTGAGCCTCTCCAGCAGTTAGAACTGACAGAGATGCCGAGGCTAACGCTTGGTGAAAATGTAGCTTCAAGGTACAAAAAAAAAAAAAACAGGTTCTAACCACAGAAATGCACGATCCTGTAGTCAGCGCTGTCTTCAGGGTGTGTGTTTTTTTTTTCTGTCTGGCTCAGACCCAGCATGACCTCGTACTCTGCTGCTGCGTGGAGAAAACCAAAGGCTTCAGCACGTAGACGTGTTGTTTTCATGACTGCTTGAAATTTGAAATTTGGGGACGAGAGCTGATCTTTGATGAGGTGAAGCTTTGGCCACGGCAGAGTCCGGTGGTTGAGTTTCCTCATTTCTCTGAATGGCTCTTAGAATCCTTCATAGTTGTCCAGAATATTCTGTCTCTCAGTCCCCCCCTCCCGCCCCCCGTCTCCTCTCTTTCTTCATGAACTTGAACACGTTTTTTGTTTTGTTTTTTACCTTCTTGTCTGGTCGCTCCAGCATTTTTTTAGACCAGAGGTTTCAAGGCCTAACTGGTTCAAGGCTTCGTCTCCAGAGCTCATCTTTCATCTGGAGTTGGTCTAGTGGTGGTTGTAGTTTTAGGGTCAGAGATGACACTGCTGCTCCTTCTGTCACTGGAGCAGAGCGTTGTCACTGATGCAGTGATGACAGAGGACAGTCTCGGCACTCACACCAGAATGTGAATTTTCACAAAGCTTTCTGTCCTTGTCACCACGGACAACCTGCAAGACGGCAACGGCTGCTGTCGAAAAAAAAGTGATCGAATGTTTCTCTATTACTGGACCAATATCCACAGACCAAAGTCCGCGCAGGAAACCAGTGATATTAACTGACAGAGATAAAAATAGAGACAATCATATTAAAAAAAAAACATTAACCATTAAGAGTGAGTTTCCTGGCAAGAAACTGTTTCCTGTTCTGGTTTGTTAACAGGAAGACACTCGATTAAATTTTTTGTTGATGTAAAGACAAACTGGATCTGCCTGTTTTTTTGTGAAGAGTGAATGTGAAGAAACTTTGGAAAAACCCACGGCGGCAGAGTGTGCCGTGA